CTTACCCTGAAGACCGGGTAACCCGCCTTGCCGGGTTACCCCACCTATCGTGTGAACGCGATCAAGATAAAATAAGAGATTACATGTACAGGCAGGTTACCTCACTTGTCTTGGGTCCCCCAGTTTTATGGTAAGGCCTTAAAAGACGCCGTGGCCAGGACTGCATGTCGAGAGGTTTGTGATCGAGCTCTGGCTGGGCTATTTTCTTGTGTTCTTCGCTAAGACTCTTTGTTCTCAGTGTCCGGGAGTGTTAATGCCTCCATACACTCTCTGCAAAACAAACTGCATAATGCTACTGGGGGAGGTTTGGTTGTTAGAAGGAGGAGACGCTTGATGAAATAAACTGCTATTCCTGAGGACTAGCGGTATCCCTAATCTCGTTGAAGACACCAGAGATTTTGCTAAAATGAAAAAAAAAAAAAAATCGAAACAAGGTAAAGCTCGAGCCGGACGAACCCTTGTCCCGTGTTTAGACGCCAATGACGAAATTGCTCAAAGTTTTGCGCCTTGATCTCAAACAAAAAGTGGTTTGTTTCACATAGTGAGGTGAGGAAAACATGTGATAAAAGTACAAATTTAAAGAGGCATAAATTAGGCATAACATCTGTCTCGTTACTCCATGATTATGGCGTGGAAGAGAATTTATAGGGTATGATGGATTTACCATTACCCAGACAAAGTGTGCTTTGGTTTTTCTCCACATCTAATTTTTCACATTTAATCTCATTGTAGTTCTGACGATTTTCATTGGAAATGGGGCAAGTGACTCAAGTAAGTCTGGTTACTGACTAAGGGGGTTCACCTTCTTCTTGGACGTGGCAAAGGGTGCCTAAAGTTAAATACTGTTAAATCTGTTCATACATAACACAACTATAAGCTATTGCCAAGAAGATTGCGATTAATCAGTCGGATAAATTTTGTGCATATTCGAGAGCGTGATAGCACAATCCACTTTAAATATTTCATTTGAAACTCTTACATAGGTGAAGCTTTTAAGCGCTTAATGCTAGGAACAGATATGGCAATTTGTCACTCGCTTACGTGTGACTGACAATCGATATCTCAACGACTACTTTCTGCGGCGGCGGGTTCACTTATTTTCCTCGCACTTAAAGTTATCATTAACAAGAACAAAATCGAGAAGTAACGTTCCATCTTACTGATCTCGACATGAATATGTCAGTTAGTATGCGATGAATAATACACACCGATAGAAGGGGCTTGTCTCCTCTATTTGGGTGATAAATGTAGTCAATATGTAAACACAACCTTTGTCTTCACTTCAGCATGTCCCAATGGTTTGAAAAACATCACATCTACCTCCCGTAGCTTCAAGTATCCTGAGTCAGGGACTTATGGAAAGAACGAGACCAAATGTTGGAGCATTACGGTTCCCGACACTTATGCTGGCATTTCCGTTCGTTACTTAAGGTATGATTACATTTTTCATTTCTGTAGCTTTCCATAGCACGCAAATTTTATGGCTTAGAGGGGATGCCGTGAGTTGATTTTATGCTGTTGTTTATCACTAACGTAAAAATAGAAACCTACAAAATGGATGTTTTCCTTCAATCATAACACAGGAAATGACCTTTTAAACCCTCTAAGACACGTCGAGTATCTTTCCCTTGAAAGGACCAGAAAGTGATTCACGACAGCAAAATCAGTAATCTATCTCCAACCTGAAATTCCTAAACACAGCGTGGAAAAAAAATATAATAAAATAAAATAAAGATCTTGAGGCCTCTTTAAGTTGTACCTTTTTTTTTCGAAATGTGTATGGTGTCTCCGGTTAAATGTTTTCCAAAGCTTACGAATCCAGGAAAGGTGTACGTATATAACACGACCGAGTGGAGTCCAGGTCATATGAGTGATAATACAAAATCAGACGACTGCAAAGCGGGAGTCCGGTTTGTCTATCACGAGTATGATTACAGACTGAATCACATGAAGTCCTTTTACCAATTAATCACAAGCTTTGAGTATCCGAAAAAAAAT